AAGTGGGAGGGGAGCTGTTGCATTGTAAATTTTGGTCAATGACATGAGACAAAGTATATGTGAACTGCTGTATGAAAAGTGAATTTACTCTGTAAATCTCCACCCAAATCAAAATAAAATTGAAAAAAAAAAAGTTAACTAGGGAAGGAGTGGAAAAAGAGCTTTACAGAGGATGCAGCATGTACAAAGGACCTGTGGTAGGAAGGAGCATGGCATGTTCAAGGAACTAAAAAATGAGTATGCTAGAGCAGAGAAATCAAGAGGGATCGTGGGACAGAATGTGGCTGGAGAGGTGGTCAAAGTCAGAACAAGAAAAGCTCTACAGGTCATTTTTAGGCTTTTGGCCATGTGATTAATGGAAAAAACAGTTGAAAAATTTAAGGCAGGATGAGGTGACATGATTACAAGTGTGTTTTGGAAAGATTACTCCATAACTGTGGAGAAGAGGCACAGGGTAGTGAGTAGAGTAGGGCAAAGATTAAATATGGAGAGTGAGGAAGTGACTGCAGTGCTGGTAATGAAAGGTTCTTAACCTTAGCTATACATTATTAGAATTCCCTGAAGAGATTTTTAAAACTCTGGATGCCTAGACCTACACCCCATACCAATTAAATCAGATTCCCTGGGGCAGTGAGACCCAAGCATCAGTAATTTTTAAAACTCCTTAGATAAATCTATGTTCAGCCAAGTCTGAGAACCTGTGGGTTAGGCAACTGATGATGGGTGGCAATAGTAGAGAAAATTAGATGGATTAGAGAGACACTTAAACCAAAAAACTAAACTTACTGTCAGTGACTGGATTGCAACACATGGCAACCCTACTGGATAGAGTAAAACGCCCCATAGGGCTGAGTGGCTGCTGCGTTCAAACTGCTGACCTTTTGGTTAGCAGCTGGATGATTTAATCACTGCACCACCCGAGCTCCAAGAGACACTTAAGTGGGAATTTTATAAAGAATCAGGCAGGCAAAGGCTGATCTACAAGTGGCTTAACAGAGAAGTTATAGATCACAGCAGTGATGAAGAAGAGAATGGAGACTGAATCAAGCACTTGTTCAAATAAGAAACTAGAGGAGTCTTTGGGGAAGGGTGGGTTTTTTATTTTGTTTTTTCAGTAATAGTAAAGTAATAGTAAGTCGTTTGTTAAAGTATAGGATCATTTATCTAAACCATTTGATCAGTCTTTGTTATTAGATTTTAAGGCAGAGCTTATGTCTAAATTAGCAATTATTTGCGTTGTTTGCATCAGTTCTCTGAAGTTTCTTATTTGGGAACTGTTAAAGAACAGATGATATACAGACCATGATAGACTGTGGCTGTGCTTAAAAAATTCTTCCTCATTTAAAATTGTTTCTCACCACATATCAGTTCATTTATTCATTTTGTTGTGGTTGTTGTTAGGTGCTATTGAGTCAAATCCAACTCACAGCAATCTCATGCACAACAGAATAAAATACTTCTCAGTCCTGCACCATCCTCACAATCGTTGCTACCTTTGAGCCCATTGCCCCAGCCACTGTCAATCCATCTTGTTGAGGGTCTTCCTCTTTTTTGCTGACTCACTACTTTATCAAGCATGATATCCTTCTCTAGGGACTGGTCCTACCTGATAATGTTAAACCCTAACTAATCTACTGCCATTGAGTTAATTCCAACTCATAGCGACACTACAGAACAGAGTAGAACTGCCCCACGGGGTTTCCAAGGCTTTAATCTTTATGGAAGCAGACTGCCACATCTTCTCCCATGGAGCACCTGGTAGTTTAGGAATGGCTGATGGGTTCCAACCACTGACTTAGTTAGCAGCCAAATGCTTTAACCATGATGCCACCAGAAGTCCTGATAACATGTTAGGGAATATTTATTAAGCACTGCTCCGGTGGTGTAGTGCCTAAGGCATCTGACTGATAACCAGAAGGTTGGAGGTTCAAACCCACTGGCCACTCTGTGGAAGGAAGACAGAGCAATCTACTTCTGTAAAGATTTACCACCTTGGAAACACAAAGGAGGTCACTGTGAGTTGGAATTGCCTCAGTGGCAGTGAGTTTTTTTGTTTTTATTTTTTTTTAAGTGCAAGGCACAATTAGAGATCCTCCAGAAGTATAAGCTGTGCTCCCTTAATTAATGAAGTGTTTTATCCATTCTTTTTTTTCTTATTGTGCTTTAGGTGCAAGTTTACAGAGCAGAGTTTGTTTTACATTTGACATTTTGTATACATTTAGTTTCACTCCCTATTTACCACCCCCAACCCTAACCCAGTCTCCTCCTCTCCCTGCCCAGTAACAGTCCCACCACCACATGCCCCTCATAGTTATGCACTCCTGTGTGTCCTGCATTTCCCCCATGTGAATGCTGCCCCTCTGGTGCCCCATGGTTGATTGCTGCTCTAAGGGATGCATCTCCATAGAGTATGTGGGTGCATCATCCTGGGCTGAGTGGTCTGCATGTGCATCTTGTGAAGTGTTATCCATTCTTAATATGAAGAAACCACTTGTCATCAAGGCAATTCTGACTTATGGAGACATGCTGTGTATCACAATAAAACTGTGCTCCAGTGTCTTCAATAGCTGATGATTCAGAAGTAGATCACCAGGCCTTTTTTCCAAGGTACCTGAGGGTGAACTCGAATCTTTTGGTTAGCATCCGAATGTATTAAACTGTTTGCACTGCTCAGAGACTCCTCTTAATATGAGGAACTGTTTATTTCTTCAGATGCTATTGAAATGCTATGGAAGTAAAACTGTAAAAAGGATAGGGAATTCAGAGCCAGGCAGATCCTAGGTCAAATGTGGGTTCCACCACTTACACACTGTGTGAAACTGGGGAAGTTAATTAATTTCTTTGAGATGGTGATATCAACATACCTCTGAGAGTTACTAAAATATTCTAGTTAATGGAAAGAAACCACTCATAGTATATAGCACTGTGTGTAATAAAGTTTGTGTTGCAATGCTATCATTGAAACATTCTGTCTTTGGTTCATTGAGCATAAATGCAACAGTTCTGCATTCAATGTAAACCATCCTTGAGACCTTACATTAATGTAAGCAGAGGTGATTGTTATTGTGGCCAAGAGGTTAGTAAGACATGAGAGAACTCTAATGGTATGCTTGGTAACAACTGCAATTTGATACTAAGGTGACATTAAGTGGCCCACTGATAATGCAGGGCTTAAAGGGTTGATGGCCTGGAATTAGGGTATCAAAATGCAAATTTGTTATTTTATTTACTTTTTGGTATAATTCACAGGGGCAATTTTTTTACTCAGAGACTTAACCAAAGAAACAACTCTTGACTAAGTCCTTTTCTTCTATCTTTTTAATAGATTCCTTAGTATTAAATCCCACAAATTATATGACTATTGTGAAAAGGACAATGTATTCAAATTTAGGAGCTAGTATTCTTAAAATAAATCATAATTTGTTTTAAATTTCAGATTGGAACCAGAAATTAGGCAAGCTATCATCAAATCCAAGACCACTTAATTCACTGCCAGAGTTCTACTGTTGTGAAGAAAAAGGGCACTTTGAAAGAAATGCTTTTAAACTAAAGCAATCATGGCCTTAACACAAAGTAACATTCGGTATTCTTAGATGACTCTTTTAGACTAAGATAATTGCCCGTAGCAAGACTGCTTTATGTGTATATTTAGATGGCTACAACCCTAAAATATTTACATGCTGCAAATTCTCTTAAGATTAAACTGGTCAGTCTACCTACAGGAATCAAGATTCTGCTTTAAGAAGACTTGTCATCTGTTCTTAGCCCCACTAGCAGTCTCAGTGCACCTGCTGGCAAACTGCCTTATAGTTAGTTCAAATATAACTGTATCTTTTCAAATTAATATCCCTGTTGAAAAAAAAAGAAGCTGGGTACATAGCTAAAGAGGAAGACTACTAGCACCACAAGCCTTGAAGAGGTTCTGGACACAGAAACTGAGTCACTATTACTAATATCAAGCACAATAGACTAGAAAACAAAAAATGTTACTAGGAATAAAGAGGGGCATTTTATAATGACAAAGGGGTCAATTCCTCAGGAAGATACAATAATTAGAAACATACACAACTAATAACCAAACAAAAAAACCAAACTCACTGCCACTGAGTAGCGACCCCTCCTTGGGTTTCCAAGACAGTATCTCTACAGAAGTAGATAGTCCAGTCTCCATTTTGAGGAATGGCTGGTGGGTTTGAACCACCAGCCTCCTGGTTACCAGTCAAATGCCTTAGCACTACGCCACCAGAGCTCCTCAACTAACAATAGAACCCCAAAATACATGAAGCAAAAACTGATAGAAATGAAGGAAAAATAGACAACTCAAAAAATAATAATTGCCAACATCAATACAACACTTAATAATGGATAGAACTAGACAAAAAATAAGCACATAAACAGAAGAGCTGAACAATACTAGCAACCAAATTAAACTGATCTCTGTATCACACTCAACAGAATACTTACTTTCTCAAGTGCATGTAGAGCATTTTTTGGAATAGGCTATAAAATAATTCTCTAAATTTGAAAGGAGTGAAATCATACAAAGTATATTCTCTCATTATAATAGAATTAAATTAGAAATCAACAATAGAAGAAAAGCAGGAAAATCCATGAACATCTGAATATTACACACCAAACTTCTTAAAAACCCCATTAGGCCAAAGAAGAAATCACAAGAGAAATTAGAAAATATTTTGAGCTAATAGAAAAAAAAAGTATCAAATTTGTGGAATGCAGTTGAAACAATGGTTACAGGGAAATGTATAGTTTTTAAACTGGTTAAAGTAGAAAAGAAGAAAAATCTCGAGTCAATAACCTGATTTTATACCTAAAGAAGCTAGAAAAAGAAGAGCAAGCTAAACTCAGAGCAAACAGAGGGAAGGAAGAGTAAACAGCAATACATTAAAACAATAAAGAAATATTAATAAAACAGAAAGTTGATTCTTAAAAGAAAATCAATAAAACTGACCAAGAAAAATGATAGGAAAACACAAATTCGCAAAATCAGGAATTTATTGATTGTTTAGACAGGGAAAAAAGGATTAGTAAGGAATACTATTAACCATTTGCTATCAAATTGGATAACTTACATAAATAAAATTAATAAATTCCTAGAAAGTAACAAATTACCAAAACTGACTCAAGAAGAAATAGGACATGTGAATAGACGTATAACAAGCAAAGAAATTAAATGAGCAATTTAAAAACTCCTCCTACAAAGAAAAACATAAGCTCAGATAACTTCATGAATTGGACCAAATATTTACAAATTCTCCTAGAAAACAGAAAAAAGTACACTTTCTAACCCATTCTACGAAACCAGTATTAACCTGATTTCAAAGCAAGACAAAGATGTTTTCAGAAAGAAATAAAGAAAAAACTACAGGCCAATAACGCTCATGCAAAAATTCTCAAAAAATTATTTGCAAACTGAATTTAGCAACATAGAAACCATGACCAAGCAGAACTTATTTACAAAAAGATAAGGTTGATTAACATCTCAATTAATTGTTAAATCACAAACTGTAAAGGGTTTGAGATGTTACCCTACTTGCACAGAAACATCAGGGCACTGAGTAAGATCAAGCCTTTATTACTCATTAACAGTAACAAAAGCCGGAGTAACTGGCTTGTAGTGCCACTTGCCCCCATCTAATTCCCCATAGGGTGCCATGTAAGGTAACATATTTTTGAAAACAAACAAACAAACTTGTTGCCATCAAATTGATTCCAACTGATGGAGACTTTGGAAGGCACATTCAAGCCTCTCTTGCCCTGCACAAGCATTACAGCGTTTAACTGCTGGCAAGCCTCCTATCCAGAGGTATCCCACTCCACCCTGCTGTAAGATGATACTCTGCTCAGGGTCCTTTGAGGCAACCTTGCATAGGGCACATTCAGGTTCTGCCCTGTACAGCTAAGTGTTACACCTCCTTTAGCTCCCCTGGTAAGCTTCCTCCTCAAAGGCACTCAGCTCTCACTCTATAGGCTGACATGCCCATGCCAATGTCTCTCACCATCTGGAGTGTTAAAGTTCTCTCTTCTGGGTCTAGGAAGTCCTCAGCACAGGGATCCTGAGTCCTAAGGCAAATAGGGATCCTGAGTCCTAAGGCAAATAGGGATCCTGATTCCTAAGGCAAATAGGGATCCTGAGTTCTAAGACAACACTCTCCTCCAGACTCTTCTTGATGGTAGTGAAATCCTCCTGAAGCTCTGCAGGATTGGCCCTTATATATGCCTAACCAAAACCAAACTCACTGCCGTTGGAGTCAGATCTGACTCATAGAGACCCCTCTTGAGTTTCTGAGGCAGTATCACTATGGAAGTAGATTGCCCAACCTTCCTATATATTCCTACTCCTTGTCAATATCAAGACATGGTCCTCCCACTAGGACCACAAGTCAATTTAGTAGACCGTAAGTCAATTTGCACAGTGCTAGGCAAGTATTATGTGAGAGATAGGAAGGCCATATAAAAACAGTTCATTGCACCGCAGATACCACGAGTCAGAATCAACTTGACAGTAACTTTTATCTGATAACTGTATCCAGAATATATTATACCTCTTACAATTCAAAGACAAATAACCCAATTAAAAAATTGCTCTCAAGTGCATGAAGAGATGCTCAAAGGGCATTAGTCACTAAGGAAATGCAAATCAAAACCTTATACCATATCAATACCAGTCCACTCCACTAGGATGGCTTTATCATAAAAATAGAAAACAAGTGTTGATGAAGATGTGGAGAAATTAGAAATTTCATTCATTATTGGTGGGACTGTAAAATGATGCAGCTGCTATGGAAGAGTTTGGCAGTTCCTCAAAAATTCAAGCAGAGAATTACCAAGTTGTTAGTTGTCATCAAGTTAGTTTTAATTCATTGTGACCCTCTCTACAGCAGAATGAAACACTGCCCAGTCCTGTGCCATCTTCCCAATTGTTGCATGCTTGAGCTCATAGTCGCAGCCACTCAATCAATCCATCTCATTGGGGGTCTTCTCCTTTTTTGCTGTCCCTCTACTTTACCAAGCATGATATCATTCTCCAGCAAGTAGTCCCTTCGGACAACATGACCAAAGTATAAGAGACGAAGTCTGGCCACTCTCACTTCTAAGAAGCATTCTGGCCACATACTTTCTACAAAACAGATTTGCTCATTCGAACAGTCCATGGTACATTCAATATTGTTCACTAATGTCACATTTCAAATACATCAACTCTTCTTCAGTCTTCTTTCTTCATTGTCCAGCTTTCACATGCACATGAAGCGAATGAAAATACCATGGCTTGGGTCAGGCACACCTTGGTCTTCAGAGTGGTATCTTTGCTCTTTAACACTTTAATGAGGTCTTCTGCAGAAGATCTGCCCAGTGCAACACATCATTTGATTTCTTAACTGCTGCTTCCATGGATGTTGATTGTGGATCCAAGTAAAATGAAATCCTTGACAATATCAAACTTTTCTCCATTTATCATGATGTTGCTTATTCGTCCAATTTGTGAGGATTTTTCAATGGCTATAATGAAAAGTCAGACAATACCAAGTGCTGCCATGGATATGGAGAAATGGGAATACTAACATGCTGTTGGTGGGAAGTTAGGCTGTCACTTTGGACGTTTCTTAAAAAATTAAAACATAAATGTACCTTATGATCTAGCAGTTTCACTCCTATGTATCTACCCAAGAAAAATGAAAACATGTCCACACAAAGATTTACATGCAGCTTAATTCTTAACAGCCCAAACTTGCAAACAATTCAAGTGTCCATAGCTGAATGGATGAACAAAATGTGATACATTCACACTATACTAAAAACCAAACAATTGCCACTGAGTAGATTTCAATTCATAGCAATCCTACAGGACAGAGTAGAAATGCCCCATAAAGTTTCCAAGGCTGTAAATCTACAGAAGCAGACTGCCACATCTTCCTCCCCAGAGCAGCTGGTGGGTTCCAATCACTGACCTTTTGGTTAGCAGCTGAACTCTTAACCACTGTGCCAAGAGGGTATACAATGGAATACTATTCAGCAATAAAAAGGAACAAAGTACATGGTTCAGCCTAAAATTATTATGTTACATAAAAACAATCAGAAAGAAGAACATATTAAATACTTTCATGTATGTTAAATGTCTAGGAAAGACAACTCTATTGAGACAAAATAGATTAGTGAGGTTGAGGGTAGGGATGGGAAGTGATAAGTAGGCATAAGGGATCCTTATGGGTAATGAAATTAGTCTAAATTTGGATTGTGGTTGACAATCTAAATCCACACCCCACTCACAACTTATACAAAGTAACACTGACCATGATTTATAATTTAGATGTATGAAATCATTAATCACTGAACATACTCAGTTCTCAGATAAACTTTGTTTACCTGAGTAATTTGTTTATTAAGTGCTATAACCCGTTTCTGAAAAACTGAAATTATATGCTTGTAAAAATGTAAAAACTGTCTAAATAAGAACTCAAGCAGTTAACTGTTTAATATACTCATGTACATATTTTGTCCTAGGTTTAGAGTAACAATTACACGTGTGTGTGTGTGTGTGTATAAGAAAATTATATATATATATATATATATATATAATTTTCTTTATAAAGAAATAAGTATAAGTGAGGATGACTTACGGCACCTACTGATGAAGGTTGAAGAATACAGTCTGCAGTATGGATTACATCTTAACATAAAGAAAACAAAAATCCTCACAACTGTACCAATGAGCAGCATCACAATAAATGGAGAGAAGATTGAGGTTGTCAAAGAATTCACGTTGCTTGGTTCTACAATCGATGCCAACAGAAGCAGCAGTCAGGACATTAGATGATGTGTAGCATTGGGAAAGTCAACTGCGAAGGAACTGTTTCAAGTGCTGAGGAGCAAGGATATCTCCTTGAGGACTAAGGTGCGCCTGACACAAGCCATGATATTTCCAATCGCCTCGTATGCATGTGAGAGCTGGACAATGAATAAGGAAGACCGAAGAAGAGTTGATGCTTTTCAGTTGTGGTGCTGGCAGAGAATGCTGAAAGTACCATGGACTGCTAAAAGAACTAACAGATCTGTCCTGGAGGAAGTGCAGCCAGAATGCTCCTTGGAAGCAAGAATGGCCAGACTTCATCTCACCTATTTTGGTCATGTTGTCAGAAGGGACCATTCCCTGGAGAAGGATGTCATGCTTGGTAGGGTGGAGGGTCGACGAAAGAGGGGGAGGCCTTCAATGAGATGGATTGATACAGTGGCTGCGATGATGGGATCAAGTATAGCAGGGATTGTGGGGCTGGTGCGGGATCGGGCAGTGTTTCGTTCTGCTGTGCATGGGGTCGCTATGAGTCGGAAACGACTCGACGGCACTTAACAACAACAACAACATAATTTTCTTCCTCTAGCCCCCTATTCCAAATTGTGTCCTGTTATAGAAAACTTGCTATTATCATATGCCAATGTGTCATGATTATCTTTATAATCAATGTATATGGATCTAACCAAAATTTTTTAAAGTTTCATAGAAGACTATAGTTATGGAATGAATGGGCATTCAGATTTTTTCCAATTACATGCAAAACAGGGCCATCTTTTTTTCTATGTTTTAGGGGAGTGGGATTGCTGGTAAGTAAGAGGATTTGCAAATACAAATTTTGGCAAATTTTGCCACAAACCTTCTCCTAATATTTTAGTAATTCACACTCCCAACAAGGTGCCTACTTCTTCCTATCTTTGGTAACCACTGATCTTTTTATTTTTATATTTACAAATCTGAGAGAAAAAGTGATATCACATTATTTAATATGAATTTTCCTGTGTATAAGGGAAGCTGGACATCTCCTCATATTTTTTGCCTAATTACATTTGTTTTTCTGTGAATTGCATTGCTTGTTACATATATCGACCTTCTTGCCCTTTTTTTCCTTCAGGTTGTCATCTTATTTATGGCAGTTCTTTGTGTATTACGGATGTGTTGAAAACATTTTTCCTCAAATATTTTCTCAGATTTTTAACTTTGTAATAATAAAAAAAGTTTTAATCTGGTCATATCTGTACAGGTTTTCTTTTGTGTTGAGCTTCCCATTTTCTTTTTCTAAGAATGCTTTCCTTAAGATGTTCCCATATTACTTTCACTCCTAAAAATTTTTGTAATTTTTACTCTATCTGAAACTCGTATTTTATACTGAGGTTGTTTTCTCCCATAATAATTAGTTGGGCCATCATTTGTTTATACTTTTATACACCCTTTTCCCATTGAAATGGTATGCCATTTTTAGCATAAAGTTCCCATATATGCTGGTGCCTATTTCTGGAATGTCTATTACATTTCCCTTATGTACCTATTCTTGCCCACACCAAAAAGCATGTATTTTTATTACAGTTTTAACATCTGATGGGAAAATACCTCCTCTCTCAATAATTTCCTTTTTGAAAAATGTCTTAAAATTCTTGCATATTAGTTTTTCTACATATGTTTCAAAATAATTTTGCCCAGTGACAAAGAATCTTCTGGTGATCTGACTAGGACAGCATTAAATTTATATACTAATTTGTCTAGAATTGGCATTCCCATTTGTCCTATATTAAAAAAAAAAAAAACACTAATAAGTGGCCCTTACACCTCATTGAAATATTTTGTTCTGCCACCCAGTTCCCTTCTAGTGAATTTCAAAATTTGTAGTACACATTTTTTATTTCCCGCAATTTTTCTGTGCTGTCATTATGTCTTCTATGTATACATTAGCATATTTTTTCTTAGACTCCTCTTCTTTCACATAGGTGGTTTAGTTTGGTCTTCTTCCAGGTTACTGACAACTTTACCAGCCTCATGTGCCCCTGGTTCATTTTGTTGAATTCTCCAACCCTCCAAATTCCATCCTTCCTTCCAACTCTGGGCCTCTGCACATTATGTTCTTCAGTTACTCATCTGTTCAGTTTCAGTTTAAATGTTATTTCTTCTTAAGGATTTCTCTGACCCTTCTCAAACTTGTATTAGGTTCTCTTTTATAGCACCCTGTACTCTTCCACTGTACACACAATATCATTTATAAATACGTTTGTTTAAAATGCTGTCCCCACTAACTTCAGGAAGACAACCTACTTCTTTTGTACCCAATGCCTAACAGAATCTGGCATATGCAATAGCTCAACACAGATTTGTTATTTAAAGGGAGTAATCTACTGATCTATATCTGAAGAACTGACCGGCTCCCTTAACCAATCTATTAGCAAATAGCTCTCTTTTAAAAAACAGGAGAGAATCAATCAAACTTAAAAATCAGTAAATGGCTATTAACATCAATAGGAGAGTCAGACTATTTTGGTGGTGGTGGTGGGGGGGAACCAAGACTGCTTGACTTGGACAATGGATTCTTTATATCTGCTTCTGGGCCATTACTAAAAATGTGTTTAATCATTGCTCCAATAATTCATTGCCTATAGCCAAAATGAGAATGTGAACTTTAAAAAATGCTTTCTTCTAGTATAATTTTTATGTTTGGGTAGCTAATCTAACTTGAAGCTCAAGAAGGGAGAAAGTAGAATGAAAAGCTCATTTAATTTCTGTCAGAATAAATTGTATTTTTACCTATAGCGCTTACCAAGGCACTCTGGTAGTGAGTAAGCCTGCTTATTTGGCTGCTAATCAGATGGTCAGCAGTTCAAAACCCACCAGATGCTCCATGGGAGGAAGATGAGGCAATCTACTTCCATAAAAATTTACAGCCTTGGGAAGCCAAAGGGGGTTGCTGTAAATCAGAATCGACTCAATGGCAGTGGGTTTGGTTTTTGGTATAGTCATTACACCAGTAGTTAGTTTGTAGGATCACTTGAACTGTACTTTTTATTTAATAAGTCCATCAAGATTGCTGCTAATTTAGAATTTTCTTGAACTAAGTATTTATAAAAATATGTCCAGGGAAAAATAAAAGCTATTTAGACTCTTGCAAAGATTCTGTTTTTGGTCTCTCCCCACCTTAGCCCCACATACTGCAAGGATAAAGCTCATTTCCTACATGTGAGTATTCATAAACATTACTTCTCTTATCAAAACAAAAAAACACAATACACAAAGTGTACTAGAAATATTTGGTTCTTTTTAATCAGCTATTGATGGTATAATAAAATAAATTTAAGTGGCACCTAATTTAAACATTTAAAATAGTTAATTGAAGGTACAGCACGATATGTTAAACCTAATTGTCAAAATAATGCCTTTTTTTCCCCCCAAGAAAGAAGAAATAAAGGCATGATCAAAATTATGATCAACATTTTGGGTTCATTTGGACACTCACAGATGATTCTGTAGGCATATCGGCAGGCACAATGTTGAAAAAAATCAATCCATTAGATTTAGGAAAAATGAGAAAAGAAAAAAGGAAAGATACACATTTCAGAATTAATGTCTGAAATTAAAGGAAAATATCCACCAAATATCACAACAGATTTTTAATGACTTCTTTCTTTAACATTAAGATTGCTGTTTCCAGGAATATTTTTTCCCTTTGAACATTTAAATAAATGCTCAATGTATTAAATAATTTACAGAGAGAAATAAGTTCTGTATTCTGTACAATTAAAGGACTTGTAATTACCCCTCTCAAAGTTCAATTTTGCAATGGTCTTAGCAAAAAATAAACAGTTCACAATCTGAACAGAATTTATAGCATTACAAAGTTTACAGAACTCCTATCCTTTAATGATTTTTTTTCTAACAGCAAAGATTATACTGACAAAACTGAATGATCAGAATGTAAAAATATTTGTGCAAAACAGCATTAATTGTTCTTACCATCTAATAGGGGTAAAACCTAAGAACACACAATACCAATAATGAAGAAAAACTACATTGAAAGTAATTCTGTTCGATTTCAAACAATATAGACTATACCATCACTAAACATTAAAAGAAAACGTGGCACCATGAGCAGCAGGAGCAACAAATGATTTGGCAATTATGTCAGCCAAGGAAAGCTGACACAGGAATATGCCAAAGTTTACCTCCATGACAGCCATCCATTTAAAAGACTGGAACAACTGCAGAGCTTACAACTCACTTCAATGTCTTTATTCTTCAATTTGCAGATCATAAATGAAATGCTTATGCAAGTCTTTTTTTCCCCTCTCAAGGAGTGTTTCTTATGTCATGGGAAGTCCTTAAAAAAGCTGAATCATAGACTCTCTGGATTTACCTACACCAATCCATTTAACTGGGGAAAGAAAAAAAAGACTAGTGTAAATTCATGCATAATGTTCAATCTTTAGGATTAAGACTACCCCCACTCTTCTCAGTGTTACCATTTAACTTTTCTCTCTATGCCTTTTTGTTGTTTTTCCTATCGTTAGCAGTCTATGCTTATTTCTAAATAGAATGTACAGTCAAGACCCAGAACAGGGTTGTTATAAGTCTGCCTATAGTTACACAGTTTCAACTGTATGATATTTATAATTACTTACTTCCTAATGAGTAAAATATTGGCTGAAATCAGCACAGAGTTAAAGAAATTTTGATAAAGCTCCACATAACTAAAAAAAAAAAAAGATACTGAGATATCATAGTAACTTTTATATCTTAATAATAGAACTATCTCGAAGAGAATATTCTAACTTGTTCAGCCTTAGTAATGGCTACTGTCTATGGGAATCTCTAATCATCTGCATCAAATGGTTTTAGATTATTCACAGAATTACTGGGTTCCATAGGGTACTGTTAGGATAAAACTATGTGGAAATTTACAGAGGTCATTATTAGATTCACTGCTGTTTGTATTTCAAAAAAAAAAAGAATGCTGAGTAAGGGCAGTGAGCATATATGCTTCCTAAATTTGTCAGGAAGGTAGGAGAGGCAGCTAGCAATTTGGAAAACAAGGTGCATCAAAAATATAAAACAAGACTCATGTTTGAAATGAATCACAATATGAACTCAGAGTAAGTCCCTAAGACTGTACTGTATGTTGAGGATAGCTCTCACATATGTCATTTTTTCTTGTCTCCCAAATCTCCATCATGGAAATGAAAGGAAAACAATCTGTTATAAGAAAGACTTCCACATCACTAGTTACACGTATGGTTATACCTGGCCACCTTACATTTATTTATTGAAGTTTTATCAATTTTTCATCCTTTGCTTACATTGTTCCAAATGAGATTTGTCTTCTATAACTACTATTTCCTAGTATCTAATGAAGAAACTCTTTCCATTCTCAAGGATGGTTTAGCCCCAAATGGAAAAAAGAAGAAGAAAAAAAAAAAACCACACAAACCATTTTAGGTGATTGTGAAAATATAAGGATTTGTTAAAAGGAATGAGAGTGAATATCATAGCTAGAAACAGACTAACAGAATTAAAGACAGAGTCTAAATGAGTAATCTATTATCTTCAACATATGAAAGATATTTAAAGATAAATAATATATTTACTGTAAATAGTATTATTTTTTTATCTTCCTGGGCATTAATGCAAATCACGAGGACTCTGCAAATGTGGTAATCATCTTTCTTTTATCCCATTTCAAAGGCAGATAGACAAGTCAAAAATAGAAAAAGTAAAGATTAACTATTGTTCAGAAAACATCTCTATTTACCTGGAATTTGAAGCTCATCTTCAACAAAGCGAACATAATTTTGTGCATTAACAGGTAGTTCTTTAAATGTCCTTGCATTTGATATGTCTGTATTCCATCCTGGGAAAGTCTTGTATTGAACTTCAACTTTATTTAAGACTTCTTGGTTTGCTAAAAGTTAAAGAATATACTTGTTCATGGTGCACAACGCCTACTGTCAAACAAGATTTTTCTTTTTTTTAAAATACACCACAGGTTCATGATCTCTTATCAAACTCTTTGAAGTTAAATGTATTAAAAATAAAGAAACTTTCAGATTTTAGAAGGGTAAAACAGTACATATACCATCTGAAGTAGTATATTATAATCGGCCATTTATATTTCTGCAGCAACACACTGGTTATTCACTAATTAGGTAAAGATTTTGTAGTCCAAGATTGGTTTCATTGTCAAATGAGTTCTGGTGTCAAATTCAATTTCAATATTCGAAGCTTTTTAGATTCTATACTACGGTTTAGGGAGTGGGGAACAGTATAATGGCACCAATTTCACAGAAAGGCTTGCACACCTGTTTTCATCCAAGTAATCTATCGTTTTAGTATTCAAAATCATAGGTGGAAATTTTCTTCATTATTCCACCTAACCAGTAACTATTACTCCTCTGTACCCCCAAATAAAAACTAAAAAGAAAACTAATTAATAACAGTTCTTTGACTACAGACAGTATAGTGGACTATGGTACGTCGTCTCAGATTTCCCTTTTTAAGGCTCTGATACTCATTCCTTCAGTTGCTGAGAGTGTTGCCTGCTGACCACTCACAGTCCAGAACCTCCCTTGGAACTGCCCTCCACTGAACAGAGCTGGCTCCTGTGGCAGCCCACATCCAGTGTCAATGTAGGGGATACAAAGGACCTGAGCGGACTGGTGGACCATGAGATCCTCAGCATATATGACCATGAGACCAGAAGAACTAAATGGTGCCAGGCTACCACTGTCAACCACTTGGAAGGGGATCTATGTAGGAGATCCTGGCTAGAGTGGGAGAACAATGTGGAACAAAACTCAAAATCATTAAAAAAAAAAAAAAAAGGGACTAGGTTTGCTGGTCTGATAGAGCCTTGTAAAACCCAAGACTATGTGGTCCCTAGCTGCCCTTCAGGTCTGGAATTGAACCTACTCCTGTGGCTTCCAGCCAAACAAAAGACAGGTATATGAGCTGAACATTTATGTTAGGTAGATACACTCCTTGGAGAGATCAATGATGGGAGAACAGAAGGGCAGTGTATACACAGGGAGACCGCTCAGAGGGTAAGAGTGCATGGGAGGGAAGGACACAGGGAAAAGGTAACTATTGGGAGAAAGTGGGAAAAGAGCTGTTGCATTATTGAAAATTGCAGTCAATGTCATGAAACAAAATGTGTATGAACTGCTATATGAAAAACGAATTTGCTGTGTAAAGTTTCACTCAAATCACAATAAAAATTTTTAAAGAAATTAAAAACAGTTGTTGTTGTTGCTGTTGTTTTGCCGTCGAGTCGGCCCCGACTCATAGCGACCCCTCCTTGGGTTTCCGAGGCAGTATCACTACGGAAGTAGGATTGCCCAACCTTCCTTCCGAGGAGTGGCTGGTGGGTTTGAACCGTCAGCCTTCTGGTGAGCAGTCAAGTGCCTTAGGCACTATGCTACCAGAGCTAGAAAGATTAAAAAGAAAAAGGACCTGCCATTTACCTTAAATGAGGACAACTCTGATGGGCCATTTGGCTTCTAGAATTTCTCATGTAACTACATTTCTTCCTCTTCCTAATTCTGCTTCTCTCTCTGCTTCAAAGATGTTGCTCAGAGCACTCACAAACAAATTTCCTGTTTGCAAATCTCCCTTATCAGAGTCAGTTTCCCAGGGAATGCAACCTACCACAACTGGTTCCAGGAGTGGTCTGGGGAAGAAGGCTTATTAAAAGGGGATTTTGGAACTAGATCAATAGCCAGCTCTAGCAAGAAGTAGACAGAGTATGGATAGGCCCTGGCATGCTGCACAATTGTTAAAACCTTCATGAGTAGTGAACTGAGAGGCCATACTGGTAGAAGGTAAAGCACTGACAATGACTTAACCATCAGTTGCTGCTGAGATGGTTCTTACTCATGGTGATCCTATGTGGGTCAGAGAGGAACTGTGCTCTCATGGGATTTCAATGGCTGAATTTTTGGAAGTAGATTGCCAGGACTTTTGTCCAAAGTGCCTCTGGGTGGACTTTAACTTCCAACATTTCAGTTAGCAGCTGAGCACATTAACAGTTTGTACCACACAGATCTTCTGGCAGTATCTTAAACCAAAAAACACCAAACTCAGTGCCATCTAGTCTTCTTTGGCTCACAGCGACCCCTCCTTGGGTTTCTGAAGCAGTATCACTATGGAAGTAGATTGTCCAATCTTCCTTCCAAGGAGTGGCTGGTGTGTTTGAAACACCAGCCTTCAGGTTAGCAGTCAAAAGGAACAATCAAATAATGGAATCGGATAGCTCTTGATGAATTCCATTAATGAATTATAGAAAGACAATGAAGGCCAAGGGTGATTAATAATCAGTTTAAGGCAAAGTATGAAAGCCAGAGGGCCAAATCTCACCATCTACAGCAAAGGGCAGAAAAATCTGAGGATCAGGCCCAGGACTCAATAACACAAACACAGAATCTAGAGAAAACTGACGTCTGAAGCCTAGCATGTCTGCTATAACAAGGCCAGAACTCTGCTTGGGAAAGAGGAGGACCCTGAGACTTTGAATGGGGACATCTAGGTTGATACATCTGAAAATGCAGATCTCTAGATTTGTCTAGGCCTAGTGCCCAAGGCACTTGACTGCTAACTAGAAGGCTGGTGGTTCAAACCCACCAGCCACTCCACAGAAGGAAGATGGGGCAACCTACTTCTGTAGTGATACTGCTTTGGAAACCCAAGGAGGGGTCGCTATGAGTCAGGTCCGACTTGACGGCACATAACAACAACAATGAGGACAGGAAGTATCTACTTCATGTTAAAGGCCAAGTCTTCCCCTTGTTTAAAGATCATGCATAGTGCTCTACCTTGCAAGGCTGTTTTCCTCTCAGAAGCTATTCCAACTCTCATGCTAAACTCACTGCCATCATTTAGAGGGTCAAGTCATAACATAAGCTGGTCAAGGAAGCACTGGGTGAGCCCAGGGAGGAAAGGAATACTTTGAATACTATGAAGGATCTCCAGGACCAAGCCAACATATATAAGCAGGAAGAGCTACATAAAGAACTGGATCCTGGGGGTGCTCGTCAAGGAAGGGAAAAAGTGGTAGAGCAAAAAGTAAGAGAGCATATTGATATAGGAGTCCTTTTCCATGATCTATGACATAGGATTTAACATCCTGGCAAGTACCCTTAGATAATGAAAACATGCTGTAGGAACATTCTTGAAAGCTCTGATGAAGTGATGAGTCACACTAAACAGAAATCCCAGAATTGCTGTGCTAGACAGTAGAAGAAGGAATGAAGAAGACCCAGTGGGTTCCATTTCCAGCCATCACTGAGTACCTGATTCCATCCTAGTTACACTGATAAAACAACTGAATAACTGGACACAGTACATGACAACTCTTTTCAGCAGGCAGTAGACAACAGGCAGCACAAAACTGTAGTTCCTCAGAGAAGTCTTGAAATCACTCAACTCTCTCTCAGCCTAGGTACAATTTTCCTGACCACAGCTGAGGATTCTTAAATTTAAACAGAGTAGAGGCCCCACTGACTTGAGGGGGCAGTTATCAGAGTTCAGAGAAGCTGAAGTAACCAGAATCAGCAGCACCAGGTGTCACAGAGTCCATGGCTAAGGGCATGAAAAGAGTAGACTAATGCAGGTTACCAGATAGCAACTGCCAAACAAAGATTCTAGAGGTCAACAGAGCTTGTAGAAGGGAAGGACAGGTACACTGCAACTCCAGAGCTGCCAGATTTCCTTAACACCTTGTTAACTCCCCTAGTACCCCTAGTCAAGACAACAGAAAGGCTGTTCCTAAGAAGTAAAAACTATACCCTAGAGTAAGACTTACTCTAGACAACCCCCTTACACATACATGCATGCCCCTCTTCATAACAAAGTCTAAAACCAAGGTCTTCCGAGATCTACAGGACAGAGATTTTAGAGACTGGCTGACACCAGGTTAAAAAGGAGAAAGGTGTGGGAAACACCCTGGGCATTCAACAGAACTACACTAAGAAAGCATAAAACCAAGTTGAAGATGATGAACTAGTAATCCAACTGACCCCTAAAATAAAAACAATATTCTTCAGAGGAAGATAACAGAATCCATATCTCTAGAACATATTATTTATAATGTCCAACATTAAATTTAAAGTCCTTAGTCACAGAAACAAGAAAATGTGATCCATAGTTAAGGAAAAGCATAGTCCACAGAAACAAGAGATGGTTCCATATGCTGAACTTAACAGATAATGACTTTAAATTGGCTAATATGAATATTCTCAAAGAATTAAATGAAAATCTGGTCATGATGAGTGAGCATATAGAGAATCTCAGCAGAAAAACAGAAACTACAGGGAAAAAAAACAAATGGAAATTCTAAAAATGAAACAAAAATTTCACCAAACGAGTTTAAAAAGTGTATTAAAGGGGTAAGATGGCGAACTAGGCAGAAACACTACAAAGACCCTCTTCAACAAAGAAAAGGGACACCAATTAACACAGACACAGAAGATAATCCTGGACCCCTGAGCCTTGAAGGGAAGGCTATAGAAGTGGACTAAACCTCAACTAGCAGAAGAATTTGCATGAAAATACCAAAAAAGGAGACAGACAGAGCTGCGGTCTGGCAGCAATCCTGAGTGAGCCAAACAAAACAGCACAGACAGCTTGGAGCAGGATGAGTGGAGGCAGGACCTAAGAATTAACTTAAAAATCAACCCTGCTAGCCAGGGACTGCATGGAGGACTGCTCTGGTGGCTGGAGAATAAAGGGAGAAGATGAAGAGAAATGTGGGCTGAGCTGTAGACTTTTGCCTGTCCAGAGAGCGCTGCCATTTTCAATGTCCACAAGCAGCTTGATCATTTTGGATATTTAAAAAGACAGCGCTCTTGCAAATTCCAGGGGCTTAAGAACAGGTTCTGCTTGCCAGCAACCCCAAGGGCACTCCGGACC